TATGAGCTTATAATGTGAAAGACTCTTGTTCTCTTCTCTTTCTTTTCATCTTCCTCCTCCTTTTTCACCACCATTTCTGTCTCCACCTCTTAGATTGCTTTAAAAGCAGTTTTATTAGCCTTTAAAAACCTTCATTGAATATAAAGTTCTCACGTGTGTAGAAGAGGTCAATTTTCAACTATATGAGTACAGACAATCCCTGGGTAAAGAACAAGATCTGTTCCTAAGTCTGTCTAACTCAAATTTGCATGTAAGTCAGAACTCGTACTTACAAATGGGTGCCTATTACTAAAAATGGCATACGGTGTTCTCCCTTGAGCTGACGAATCATTGAAGCTATGCATTGTTTTCATGAACCACTGAAAACTGCTGAAAACAGCCTGTATATTAAAAACACACAGCTTCAGCAGTTCATGAAAACATTGCATGGCTTCAGCAGTTTGTTGGCTCAAGAATCAGTATCAGAAGCCAATTGAGATACTCCATGGTCAAAATAAAAACATGAAAATATGGAGTGAGAGTCATGATTTTTTTCTTTCCTCTATTCCCCCCAAACTGGTTATTTTTGGGTCTGTTACTAATAAGAACCAAGTACAGCTCTTGTGCATGTACATCCTTTTCTTTCTTGGGATATTGAAGAGATAGGTTTCTTCTGGCTGAGAGTTTTGATGGCTTAAGTGCCCTAGGTAGTGTATCTACAGCTGGATTTGGGAAGTGATTATTGTATTAGCTGGATCCTTTCCAATCTGGATTCAGGCCTGAGTATGGGACACAAACAGCACTGTTCACTCGGTTTGATGACCTGTGTCAGGACTTGGATGGCCTGATGCAATGTCTGAAGGCTGTGAGAGTCTGAATGAGTCAAAACGTGCTGAAATCAGATCTGTGAAAGTTGCTGTTCATAAATTATTGATGTGGTTTGATCTTGGTTCCGAGACTGGCTCTGGACAAGATCACACTCTGCCTAAAAAGGCAGGTCCACAACTTGGGGATTTACCTGGACTTCAAAGCATCTGACTCTAGCAGCAGGTGGAAGTGTGGCAAGGGGGCCTTTGCCCAAATTTGGTTGGTGCACTGGTTGCAGGCCTACCTGGACCAGAATATCCTTATGACAATGATTCATGCCTTTATTGCCTAGTGATTAGACTACTTCAATGAAACATAAATGAGATTGTCTTTGAAAACAACTCAGAAGCTACTGTTGGTACAGAATTCAGTGGACAGGCTTCTAACAGGCAGGAGTTGGTTTAGTAACATTATACCAGCATTCCAATTGCTACATTGACTATAGCTAGGTTTCCAGGTCCAATTCAAGGTGCTGGTTTAATCTACACTGGAAGCACCTATGTACTTGCAGAGCCATGTCTCCTGCTCACATTTAGGCTGTCTTGTGTATTCATCCCCAAAGGAATGGGGGCCTGGACATACCTTCTCAGTAGCAACCTGCATATTATGGACCACCTTGCTCACTCCAGTATGGGGACACCTCCCTCTCCCCATGCTTGCCTTTAGAAAGCAGTTAAAGCAGTTTTGTTCTGTCAAGCTTTTGACACAATTTTATAGATGTGTGCTGCCATCTTAATTCTTTTTAGAATTAATTATGTGTTAATTGATTGTTTAGATTTTTAATTATTATGTATTGTAAACTGTCCTGAATCCTTGCCAGTAGGGCCATATATAATAATTGTAGTAAGTCAGTAGATATGACCAAGAAATAAATCACTACATTGGCAGAGAAATCAGGAATTTGAATGTATCCCCTTCAGAAATTCTGTCCTAACAAGTGTGAATTGAAAGGCTTTTGAACCTGTTCCTCAGGAGGGGCTCTCCTGAGGGTTGTGACTGGAGGGCCTTAGACCTCTAACTTCCTTTTGATACCATAGGAATGTAAATTGCTAAACTTTTCCTGTTCATACAGGTTTGATATCATGAATTTGTTTGCTGTCTGTAATTCTCATACATTTATTCTTAATAAAACTGTTTTTTAAAAGTCCAGTTCAGCTTCTAGAGAACTAGGAAAATAAACCCTTTTTAAAAAATTGACCTCATAAAGGCCACAAGGGGCATTAGAATGACATCATTGGCAGTAGAGCCATAATGTTTTCTCTGTTGTTAGAGTTTATGGATAGAATTGCTCAAACTATAAATGTGTTAAGCCCAGAAGAAGCTTTTGGAGTTCTAGTCTGAATTAAAAAAAAAATCCATTAAAGAAAACCAAAACACTATTTTGCCACCCAATTTTAACAGCATGAGCTGGATGGATTCTGGAAGTTGCTTGGGGACCATAGGCTTTGAGAAAGAAACACTATATAGGATATTAGCATGTCTTCATGTTTAAGCAGGATCTACTTATTTTCTCATTTAAATATGGAGATGGCAATGAGGTAGGGAGGAAGTTAGTATATATATGTATGTTGTTAGTTTCCTTGCTTATATTTGATAAAAATGTTGATATTTTCACCCAGCTAATGCACACTATGTATTTTTGAAGACTAAAACATATTTAAAATGCATATATATTTTAGTATAACATATATACTAAAACTCTTGTGTCTGTAACCTTCAGCTGGGTGAAACGGTGTATCATAGGGCAATAATTTTTGAACCAAGGTACCTCAAATGGGCTACCTTACAGAATGCATCCAAAATCCGGGACCCCTTAGTCCCATGGGATTGATATTTGGGAAATTTGTGGTTACTTCACTGCTGTGCTGCCATGGTCAGCCTGGGTCATGTGATCATCATGGGCATATCCCTGACCTTTTTCCTGTCTCCCTCTGTCCCCTGCATCCAGTCGGCTAGTGGCAAGGCCCGATGGGTGAGTGGCGATTGACTGCTTTGGAAATGAGGCAGAAATTTGAAATCTCTTAACAGCAGGGGGCACTGAGGGAAGGATGAGGGAGTGACTTGGATGGCAAGGTAGGGCTGGTGAGGTAGGGCTGGCTGGGGGGGATGAGGTAGGGCTGGTTGGGGGGCGCTGGTAGTCAATGGGTGAGCCCTCTTCCTCCATCAAGGGAGGGGGTCCTTGGGGACATGCTGGAATGGGGAACAGGGGTGCAGTTTTCCTTATGGTTTGTGGCTTCCTTTGTTCCACCTCTCCTCAGCAAAGTGGCAGGCAGTTCCATGGGTCAGCCGAGGAGGAGGAGGAGGTGGTGGTGGCTTCACCGGGGCTCTCCTGAGGGTCGTGAGTGGAGGGCAAATGGTGCAAACCTATATTGTATATGAAAAGGAAGGAAGGAAGGAAGGAAGGAAGGAAGGAAGGAAGGAAGGAAGGAAGGGGAAGAGAGGAGGGAGGGAGGGATCCCCAACTTCTTTCCCACCTCCCTCTGTCCCCTGTGCCTAATCGGCTGGTGGCAAGGCCTGATGTGCGAGTGGCAATTAGGTGCTTTGGAACTGAGGCTGAAATTTTAAATCTCTTAATGGCAGTGGGCATTGAGGGAAGGATGAGGGAGTGATTTGGATGCCTGCTGGTGAGATAGGGCTGGCTGGGGGGCGCTGGTGGTTGATAGGTGAACCCTCTTCCTCCCTTGAGGGAGGGGGCCCTTGGGGACATGCCAGAATGAGGAGCAGAGGTGCAGTTTTCCTCACAGTACATGGCTCCCTTTGTTCCACCTCTCCCAGCAAAGTGGCAGGCAGCTCCGTGGGTCAGCTAAGGAGGAGGAGGAGACTTCACCGGAGCTCCTCTGAGGGTCATGAGCGGAGGGCAAATGGTGCAAGCCTATATTAT